GCCACATAGTGACTTACCATGCGATTTCAGAGAACTTCAGATTATTTAGTAATTTTTTAACTCCTATCTAAATTAAATTGGGGGGAGGGCTACTCAGAATGATGTGTACATATAGTTTTAGAAATTTAATTTCTGAGAAGAAATATTCGACTATTCTGTGGTTATGGTACCGTGACCTGTGTGGCAGCTAATGGAACGTGTCATGGCTCTGGAGCTCAAGTTGGCAGCATTCGGTGCCTTTCTGATTACAAACCCTTGGCTGCGAGGGTTGTTGCTCGTCTTGTTTGTAAACAGAAGCGTGTCCATCTGTTCCTAGCTGTCCCTCTCATAGCTGCTGCGTTGGAGTTTGCAGGACGTGCAGACGAGAAGTGCCCCAAGTGTCGCGTGTGTCCCCAGAAGGGACAGAATCCTCTGGCCTACAACTCCACTGCTGCTCCTGCCGTCTCTTTCAGTCTTCCCCAGTGTCTCATGGCTTCGGAAGAGCCTGGGTCGTGTGTTTGCTGCTTGCCAAGGGTCCTGCTAACCGTAGGGTGGTTCGTGTCATGGGGAGACAACAAGAGCTTGGCACAGAGGCAGCAGGATTGCTCTTCGCTCTGCTTAAGAGGCAAAGAGTATTGAAGCCAGAGGGTGACTCTGGGCTGATTCCTTTGAAGAAATTATGTCCTATAGCGGAAGATACAGAGTCAAAGCAGTTTGTTTTTGAAGATAGTGCCTGACTTAGGAAGAGATTGCATGTTGTGGCTGCCTGCTGTCGTGGAAGACTGGATCTGGTAATGCCAGAATTCCCTGGTGCCTGCCTATGTTGGAAGGCCAAACTCTGCATTATTACTTATTATTACTAAATATATGTTTGAATGTCTGGTAGGATAAATAATTCATTACATTTAATTCTTTTTTTTTTTCCTGTGCTCACGTACATCATTTCTCTTCTTTCTGGCTTCTCACACGTTTCTTCAAGACGAGGGCTGAAGGGGCTGTGTCCGTGCTGGGGAGCAGGGTGGATGGGCTCCCGGGGCTCCGCTTCCAGGAGAAGAGTCTTGCAGAGCTCGGCTCCACTGGGCTGTGCTGTAAATCTAGCTTAAGAAGAAAACAGATCCTCTCCAGCTTGTGTTTCACGGCTTAATGGCTTTTATGACTTCTATGATTTACAGATTTTATTTCCTTAATAGCTGTTGTTTAATGCTGAAATTAGTAACCCTGTAATGTTTCAAGAAACTATTGTTAAAATTTAGTCTTACTGTTTAGTAGCTGAAGGCAGTTTATTTCCTCACAGTTACTCTTAAAGCGTCTGGTTTCTTTCTCGCGCGGCTCCCCCAGCTCCAACCGTGGAGAGTTTTGGGCTTTGCTTCCCAGGCTGTGCAGGGGTCTGGATGCTGTTGATATAAACCAATGCAGACCAAGGAAGCACAAGTTGTCCCTGCTGTCAGTGACTTTCTGCCTAAAGGGTCCCCCGTGACAGCCAGGAGCTTCAGGGTTTTGCTTTGCAGACCATGTAAAAGCACGTTGGCCACGTTAAGGGACGTGGTTTCTCACTGACACTGCGTTAGCTGATGATGTGTCAGCGTGAGGCCGGGCCTCCTGAGAGCGAGCCTGCCGCTCCGGCGGTGCCTGCTGCACAGTAGGAGGAAAGCAGGATGCTGGCAAGTGCTTGGTAACAGCAGTGCCCTCCCAACAGGGGAGGAACGGAGCTTTCCGTGCGCGGGAGCGGGAGCAGGGCCGGGCTGCAGCGGCGCTGAGCGCGGGGCCGTCCGCGCGCCGCCCTCGGCCGCCCATGGGCTCGACCTGCTGCAGAGTCGCTTGGTGGGCGCAGGGGTTTGCTCCGATTCATTAATGATCCTAATCCTCCCCCATGATGATATGTTGCTTTTCCAGAGAAAGTATTTATTTATTTATTAGTATCAAAGCAATGCATTATTATTGTGTGCTTCCTCTTAAGTGGGAGACTTTGGCTGTCATGTATTCTGCCATCTGAGAAAAGGAACTTCCCTGCTTGTCACCCAGAGCAGTCAGCCCGGATACACTAGCTGATTTTAGCTGTGTGACCTGGTAGCTGCGTTCTGCCCTAATCAGCCATCCACTAGCACATCGGTGCGTTGGTTCGAGTCCTGTGGCGAGAATCCAAGCTAAATCCAGACTATTTACTTCACATGCAAATAAGTAAATGGGACTATTTTATATAGTTTGTGGCTGTGATAAAACATCGATTCTATGAAGAATATGAAGTAAAGAGGTTACAGTGATATTGATTCGTGATATTGCATTCTTCTGAACGCCCAGACCGTCCTGTCTGAAACATGAAGTCAGCTCGTGTGGTCAGGGCTTTGCTCCCTGTTGCGTGGGGGGAGGCTGCCATCCCAAGCACGTGGTTCCCTGTGTCGTGTGTGCAGCTGAGAGGCTGCAGCCCTGTGGCTGGTGCTCCGTGTTACGGGTTCATGCTGCAGTCAGGTGCAACGAGCACTTTGGTTTTTGCAAGTGCCGCAGTGCGCGATGGAGCAGAGCTCTGTGCAGGGGAAGCTGCACCAGGGCTGCTGCGTGGGAATTGTGCTGCACCTCGATGGCTTTCTGTGGCTTTGCAGAGCCCAGCCAAGGTATTGAGCCTGTGCTGCAGATGAGGCGTTGAGTTTTACCGCTTCGGGGGTTGTCCCCGTGCCTCTCGTGTGTGCGGCTCCCCTGCAGCAGGCGTTTGGCGGAGCCTGCAGAGCCTGTGCTGCTTGTCTGTGCAGCCCGCGTGCAGCAGCAGCAGTGTGGCCCGTGCGGAGCGGGCAGCGGGGCTGGCAGCAGCTGCTGAAAAAGAGGAAGGCCCAGCTCTCCAAGCCAGCCTTAGCAATGGTTGCCTCCTTGCTTTAGCTTGTTAAGCACATGTGACTTCACGCCCAGCACCAGGCACCTCTGTTGCTGTTTCTGCAGCTGCTCATCTGGCCGCTGCCTTTGTGTTGGGGCAGGACTCGCTGCTTCCAGCAGCCTGGTGAATTTGCGGAGGCCATTTGGGGGGTGGGTTATAAAAAGCCCCGGGATGAATTGTTCCCAAGTGGCTTTGGGATGCAGCTTGCGGGTGTCCTCCCCCTCAGAGCAGAGGGGAGCCCGTTGGGAGTGTGCAGATCCAGCCCCGTTCCGAGCGGCTCCGTGGTGGGCGCTGCCGCCAGCCACCTCGCAGGAAGGCCAAGCTGCTCCCTCAGCCAGAACGCGGCTGCCTCGCTGGTGTTAGCCTTTAGCTTGGAGTGCTTCTGAGTGTACTGCTGCAGCTGGGTACAGAGACGCGCTCCCTCCCTGTTATTTCTTGCCCAGCCAGGGTTCTTGCACAGCCAAGCAAGGTACCGTGGTTTGGCCCCACAGCCTCCTCCGCAGGGCTGAGTTTGTGTCGCTCCGTGTAGGGAGCATCGCTCTGTGTGGCTCAGGACCTTCCTGCGGCGGGACCTGTCCTGCTCCACGGGCAGAGCACGTCGCCCGCCAGAAACCCTCCGAGAGGGGCTGCTGGGTTTCGTGTTCTGTTGATTCCCGTGCTGAGCAACAGCCAGCTCTGTTGTGGGCTGCTGGGCCAGAGAAACTCCAGGCTGGGACAGTGGAGGAAGGGAGCAGTTTGTGTCAGAGATGCTGATGGATTGCCTGTCCCTTTGGGCATCTTTGTAATGACCTTCCAGAAGAAAGGCTTACTGTATTGGGCAGAAAACTGGAGGAGCTATTGTGTATTCAGCAGTTGCAGCTCTGGACAACAACACAGTTGCACTTAGATAGAAAGTCACTGTGGACGGATTTTGCAGCCCTGCTTTGTGACCTCTGTAAAAAGGGCCTTTGGTTTCACATGTGAGTTTTTGGCAGGAAAGAGGACAAGAAATACCAGGCTAGTTCTTGCTGCGGCTTTTGGGTCTTAGATTAAATTTCCTGTGTTCACAATGAAAAGACAGTTATGATACACGTAAGTAGTGCGCGTGTGTAGGGGGATTAGCATGGAGCAGGCACGGCCAGGCCTTGGCCAGGGGCTCTGCTCTCACGGCTGGGACAGAAGGGTTCTGCTTTCCTTGATGACTCGTCCCATGCGCTGAGCGGGGCTTGCCGGGGGGCCTGCACCTGAGCGTCACCTCCCCTGGCTGCAGAGCCCGGCCTGGGGCGCGGGTTTGCCTGGAGCTGGCCGTGCCAGCCGTGGTGCTCAGCCCTCCCGTGTGGGACATGGGCCTCTGCAGCCTCCTGTCCCTGGCTGCTCAGGGCCGTGGAAGCTGCTTGGGGTCTGGCCCAAGCTCCGTTCCAAGGGTTGCACGTTCCTGTCAAACCCCGCATGTCTGAGCGCCGCTTCCCCGGGAGATGGAGTGGCCACAAGCCTGTCATTGAGGTCCAGCTCCCCCAGTGCACAGGGAGGGTGTTGCAGAATGCTGCGCTTGTCCCTGTCGCATCCCCGCGTCTGCCCTGTGCCACCCAAGGCCCCGCGGTGCTGGGGCTGCAGGGGTGAAGCCCCTGTGCCCGTCTGCTGGTGCCCCGTGCCGGCCTTTCCCGGGCACAGCTCCACAGGGAAGCGGGAGCACGGCGGCCCCTCTGCCATGGCCTTGGCCCTGAGGCCGCTGGGCCCGGCACCAGAGCAGGGCCGCGGTGCCAGCTGTCTCTGGGCACTGCTCCCGGCCGGCGCGGTGCCTCCGCACGGTGCCCGTGTCGGGGAGGCTCCGGCTGCAGCAGCCTCGCTCACGGAGCCGGGTGCAGGGCAGCGGCACCAGCGCGGCCGCCCGGGCTGGCCACCCCAGCCCCGCGCCCTGGGTACCCCTGGGTACCCCTGGGCTCGCAATGGGCACGAGCCCTGGCACAACCTAGAGGTTCACATGGTAGCCCTAAGTCACTCAGTATCCGAGTAGCGGTGGCAGGAGGCCGAGGAGATGGGGGTGCGTGAGGGGGCCCTGCCCCACAGGCAGCCTGCGGCCGCTCGCCTAGCGCGGAGCCAGCCGCGCTCCTCAGCGCTTCATCGGGGTCTTCCTCACGCTTCCCAAAATAACCCTTCCTTCTTTTTCTTTCTTTTCCAGGAAAAGAGGAGTAGAAGTAGTACAGGTAAGAACTACATCCATTTTTTTCCCTTTATCTTCTTATAAAGCAGCTTTACTGAATTTAAATACTATCATTTATCTGGGCTGAATTATTTCTCTTTTTCTCCATTCACTTCTGGTGTTACTCAGGTGCTGTTTGTAAAAATGTGAGTTGAACCCTTCTGGTCTTAGGGTCAGCATGTGTGCTGGTGAAAGTGAGGATGCACTTAGGATTTTCTTATCTCTGAACCTAATAAGACCTGATAGTTGATTAGGTGACATTAATCTGTGTTTATTGCATTTAAGGAAAGTCAGGCTTAGCAGAAACAGAAGATGCCCTTTAAAAGAAACTGTGATAGAAGGAATGTTTTTGCAGTAAAGTGGGCACTGAAATGCTCTGGAGTTCTGGTGCACGTAGTGATGAGTTCAGGTGTTGGCCACGTTTTCTGTTTGCCGGTCTGAACGTTCACACAACGTGTAGCTTGAAGGACAGCAGCACCTCGGAAAGGACTTTGCTTCTGTGACAGCTCTGTTGTGTGAGCAACACCTCAGAGTGCTGTAGCCCTGGAAGATCGAGGGAGGTGGGTGCCTTTTATTCTGGCTTATTTTATTATAGTTTGAGGATCTGCGTGTCATGGGTTGAATTCTTGCTGCTGTTGCTAATGGTCCTGGTTGTTAGTTTTGTCCCCTAAGGTGGTCTGCGTGTTCTCTGCAAGGAAGTGTTTGGGAGTGACACGTTTGCAGAGCTGAAACTCTCCCACTGGAGGCAGTGAGGAAGGAGGTGGGGGCAGCGCAGCGTGCAGTACAGTACAGCACAGCACAGTGGGTACCTGCCCTGTGGAAGATGCATTTCAGCTCCAGCACGGAGTAGAACGGCACTTAAACACTTGCAAAGATCAGGCCGTGAAATTTTAAAGAATCTGGTGTTAAAGAGGCTATTAGACTTGCATTGAAAGTTAAACTGGAGAATGTTCCTTTTGGGCATGGGTGATTGTACTAGAACTGTGTGACGTTGCAAGGAAGGAGGCACAGGGAGAAAGCCAGCTCATGTTTGTGTTGGTATCATCCGTGGCACATGGTTATTTCATCAATACCCTCCAATCTGGTGTCTGTAGGAGAAGAATTCAGTGCTGCTCCCGTTAGCTGAGCACGTTCCGTTTTATCCAGTGGTTTTAAAAGTTGCTGCCCTTCGGTGTGTTACTTTAATTAGTATTTGCTATAGCAGCATATGCAAGGTGCACAATATGACTTTGTTGTTGCTGATGTTTGTGTAGCGTAATTGCTGGTCATGAGAGGGACAAAAATAATTGGAAAATATTTCCTTGTGGGAAGAGCATGTTGGGAAACGTTTGGGCTGCTTAGGAAGCCCTCACACTCTCAGGTTTCACAGCATAGTGAAGATGCCAGACCAGCCTCTGTGGGGCAGCTGTGCCCCGGAGGGATCCCAGAGGGATCTGTCACCCTGACACCTGCTGCTCCGCTGGCCGGGACGGCGACGGCAGCGAGGGGATCACAGGGGGCTGCTTTCCTGGCTGGGAAGCTCGGCCAGCGGCGCCTCGCATGGTGAGTGCTCCCCGTCACAGAAGCACAGAATGGTTGAGGTTGGAAGGGACCTCTCGAGATCACCTAGTCCAACCCCCTGCTCCAGCAGGGACACCCAGGGCACGGGGCACAGGGCGGCATCCAGGCGGGTTTGGAAGATCTCCAGAGGAGGAGATTCCAGAGCCTCTCTGGGCAGCCTGTGCCAGGGCTCTGTCACCCTCGCTGTCAAGAAATTTTCCCGTAAGTTCCTGTGGAACTTTTGGTGCTTCAGTTTGTGCCCGTTTCCTCTAGTTCTGTCAGTGGCCACCACAGAAAAGAGGCTGCCCTCTCCTCCTCACTGCCTCCCTTGAGGTGTTTATAGACACTGATCAGGTCCCCCCTAGCAGCGGGCTCTGATGCTGCTGCCTCGGGAGCAGGGCAAAGTTAAGCAGAGCTTGACCTTTGCTTAGCGGGACCATGGTTGTCTTCAGTCTCGCCCATCTCCCCCCGCCTAAATTAATGGAGGGGCACGTTTAGAATTGCAAATTGTCAGGGCTGCCTTAACCAGCGGAGTAACCTGTGTCGTGTGGCTTTGTATCCAGGCAGGGAGAAGAGAGGCCTTCTCCATAGGCCTGGTTTTTCAGGAAGACTCTGTTTGGCTTAATTTGCAGAATGTAAGATTGAAAACCTGCAGTGAAGTGGAAATCATCACAAGTGCCTCTGCTGGGGACATGCATTTCTGCTTGCTTCACAAGCTATGCAAATGCTGAATAATTAGCTGCAGCCCTTTGGCTTCTGACACGCTGCCAGCTCAGTCCTTGTGTGGGACAAAGTTTGGAGCCTTCGTATTTCTTGCAGCTTCAAAGCTGTTTCAAGCCTTTCTGCACCCAAGCTCTCTTAGAGCTCTACATCACGTTTTTCTATTTTAAAATAGTTGAGATTTCTTATATTTTGGTCCTAATAAACAGTAACACTCTCTTTTATCTTAGAAAGATGTTCTGGTCGGTTGCCAAAAACAATGGGGTTAGTCATTGTATCTCAAGCCCGAGATGCTTTTTTAATAGCCTTGGGATATGGAGGGCAGCATGTTTAGCAGTCACAATGGTCTAGGCTGCTGTTTTGTTTCCCTCCTTTTCCAGCTCTCTGGGAATTCAGATATTTGAAGCTTTTACTTTTGAGAAGAGAACTGTCCTTTGAGCTGTGGGTTTTGCTGAAGACGGAGAGGGAAAGCGAAGGGTCCCCTCTCTCCCTTTTACATCTTCAATCAAGTAAAATACTGATGACAACAGTTTCCACTCATTGTTGCCAGGGAACGGTTGTTTTCCTGAAATGTGGAGAGGTTTATTTTCATATGAAGTATTAATGGAATAAGCTGGTAACAGCAACATCTACCCAGGCTTATAAAATATATATCCAATGGGGTATACAGAAGGATGTGACTGGAGAGCTTCCAAAGCAAGCATGGTTCTTGGGATGTCGGAGAGTTGGCTTCCGAGTGCGGGGAGAAGAAGGTTTATTTTCGCTTGCATGCCAGCCTCTTGCTAAAGTGCCTGTTCCTCTGGGTAGGAGGGTCAGTGTTGCCCTCAGTGCGTTTGTGGGAGTGATAAGGCGGCCCTGCAGCCCTCCCCAGCGTGGGGAGGTTGGTTGTGTTGGTGCTTTGCACCTGCCCGAGGCTGAGGGCTGCTGGATGCCATCCTGGCAAGACGCGGATCCCTCTTGGCTTTGCTGTTCCACGGGCAAATGTTGTGTCCTGGGTGTCTCAGAGCATCCTCCAGAGCAACTGGCATCATCCCTGTGCATCACACGTTACAGCCTCACCCCTCAGGAAGGAAATGGGACTGCGGAAAGCAGATCCCGAGTGGAGTCCTGTCCCTGGTCCCCCTCAGTGGTGCGAGGAGGTGGCAGTGCCGGCGGGAAGCGCGGGAGCCGGCACGGAGAGGAGCCTGTTGGGTGCCTTGGGAGATGCGGCCTCGTCATGCACAGCCTGGCCCTTTCTGGTTCATTGGGGCAGGAAAGTAAATGCCCCGTGTCTGGGGAAGGGAACGCTGCAGAGGATCAAATATGTGCAAGAAACAAGCCCTTATTCTTTAAATACAAGGCAAAACAAGCCAAACAATTGCGGTTTTAGGCATTTCTGCTTTCTGTTACTGTGGGTGTGAATGAGAGACCCCTCAGGTAGCCTTTGTGACTTGCAGGCTTGAAGTCTGCCCAATTTGGTTGCATTTCCTTTGCCTCTGGCTCCCGCTGTCCCTGGATGAGGGGTGGCCTCTGCAGTCCTTCTCAGAAAGCAGGGAGAAACCATGGCTGAGGCTTGGAGGTCCGTAGCCAACGTGCGGTGAGTGGCTTCCAGGTTGGAGCTCGTCCTGCCTCGGCACACGGAGCCCGCTGGGCCCAGCTCCTTTATCTTCCCCTGCCGCCTTGGTAAGTGGGTCCTGAGGAGACAGCAGGACTTGCAGGGCTGAGGCTGCGGGTCGGCTGTCCCGAGTGGAATCCCGGCACCTCTGGGAGCTCTGCCCAAGGGTTGCTGACTAATGGGGCACTGGAGCCCCATGGCACTGGAGACTTTGGTTCTGTCCCTGGTCACAGGCATTTGGGGCAGCTCCCTTAAATTCTGCCTCTGTTACCTAATGATCTTCCCTGTTGTGCAGTGCCATTTAAATCGTTCAAACAAAGCTCTGAGTTGCCTTCTTGGACGAGATCAAGAGTAGGATCAGTGTGAAGGGGCACCTGGAATATTAGGATGCTGGAACTTCAGAAACCTCCTGTGTGTAAGGACTTCACTTGCCATCAGCAGACAGTGTCATCTTAAACACAAATGCAAAACTTCACACGTCCTTCCCTCAAGAAACAATAGGAATAAACCCAAGATTTCGCAGGAAAAGTTGGCTCTTACTCTGGGGAATAAAGCTCTGTGTTTGTCTAGGAATGTTTGCAGCATATTGGCTTGCTCTTTGTGGAAAACAGCTATTGGACACTGTGTTCGTTAATCGTCATCACTGCAGTGGTGCCTATGGGACACCAAAGAGCAGGCTCTGGTTTTTGACTGCGTTGAGCAGTGGGGTCACCTGTGTCCCTGGGCGCAGGCGCTGCGGTACGGTAGCAAAGCAGGCACGGGCAGCGCGGCTACAGACGCGCCGCTCAGCCCGTGCTTTTTTAGTTAAAAACCATCATTTGTTGTTAGGGGATTGTGGCTGGTGGGTCTGAACTTCCTGCGGGCTCTGCAGAAAGAAGATCCTTTCTGTTGCATCTCGTCTGCTCTCCTGTTATTTCATGATTCAAATACATGTATTCGTATTGCAAGAATGTGTAAAATTCCCATAAAACTTGCTACTTATGGGCGTTAGGTTCTAACCCTGGCCTCCTTAGGTTGCACTGAATTTGGACATTAGTCTTAAGTTAAAGAAGCTTTTGGGTGCCCTATTTTAAAACTGGGCACATTTAAACAAAGTGAAGCTGAAAAATATTTTCCTAAGGCTGATTCCCTTCATGAGGTTATAGTGAGGG